TGTTACACGTGGCTACCTGTTAAAGTCGACCGTTACCTCATTTAAGACCATTACGGCGCGACCGTTCGGCCTACACATTTACTCGTTGACCGTTACGACCGTTCACCACTTCTGTCGTTAACAGCTTGAAGATTATCCAAAATTATCCAAGTGTCTTCACCTCGGTGTACAGTCTACACTTCGGACAGATGATTCACTTCGGTTACATCGGCAGATAAACCGAAGATGACCCACCGAACATCATAGACCACATCCTACCGCCGACTTCTTACCGATCCAGGGTCTCTACATATCTGACGTAGCAACATCAACGACCATCACTTCTTATGCCCCTCGATGTTGGGGGCCTCTCTGTTAACATCCGGATCGGTAAACATGCATCAAGGGATTCTAGACAACACATTAAAAGGAAGATGATCATTAAACCGACGTTGTTACATACACCACCCCGGTTCAGACAACAGACCGGACCGAACTACCAAAGACCGAAGTGGTCAACATCCACCGAGGTCAACATGAACCGAGGTCGTCACCTCCTTAAGTAGGTGACAAGGCGCCTACGTGTGATCCTCCAGCTCCACGAGATCCGTCATCATTTATGTGGGACCCCCTACCTCAAACCGCCCACAAAAAGTAACTTTATTCCAAAAAGTCATGCACAGATCCCAATGTATCAACCCGAAATTACTATAAATAGCGGACCTATGACATTTGTAAACGGATCTCATTTTCTCCGAATTCTCCGAACTGTAAACACTTTACTAAGCAACACGTAAAAGCCCATCACGGCTCTTCACCTCGGTTCACCTCGGACCGGGGCCACTGTCGATTTAATCTTGCATGCTTTACGTCCAAATCATTCAATATTATCCACGTAAGTACATGTTCTATCGTTGTTAACAATCACATAACAACAACGGGTGAGGACATTGACGAGCTAAGTGTTAAAGAAATTCCTCCTATTGACGACGTGGCCTTACAATCTACGATAGGTACGTCAAATCTCTCTTTTGTTGATGGTGCATTGTGCTTTGATTCGATTATTGAGGATGAGTGTACGGATTCGGGGGTTGATGTAGTTGATGGATTTGGGAAAAATTTGTTTGATGATTTGATTAACCCGAGTGGTGATGACGGTGTTGGTGATGTTGTGGATGAGTGTGATGATAATGTTAGTAGTGAGGAGGATTCCGAGCACTTATATGATGTTGTTGAACCGGATGTGCCATACATGGATGATATGTCTCGAGACGTTGAGCATGAGGTGGTGCCCATGTCCTTT